TCCCCAAGTAAAGTTTGATGACTATCACCGTAGAAAGAACGTTGTACAAGTAGCTAAGAATACAAAGTTCTGGTTCCAGCTCTACCACTAACAACCTACGCACAGGATCAGCCAGCTTTGGTGCCTGGGAGACCTGTGTAGTCAGACGGGGCTGAAAGACTCAGTGAGGACTCCACATTCAGAAGGATCTCATGATTGCTTTCATTCTCTGATGCTGCCATGGTGAAATTCTAATAATTTCTTAATAAGAGCCTCACATTTACATTTTATACTAGGCTTATTATGCAGTTTTTGCCTGTGTGAGTTTTGCAAGTCACTTGAATTAATTCTCATTTTGCTCAAAGTTAATTACAAACCCAGCACTCCCCTTCTCCCATGCTGTATTACCAGAACACAAATTATACTTTAGATACTGCTTTTGGATCCTACAGCCAACTCAAGATTGAGTATAAGAATCTTATTTCCAAAAGACGTCCCTTAAAAGACAGAGCCTATCACTGCTGCCCCAAACCTTTCCTTGTCTGACCCTTCCGTTAAAGAATTAGGTGTCCTATACCACTAATTGTGCTTTCTATCTTAAAGGTGTATTTGACGACTACATTTTTTTAAAAAGCACCTCTGTTCAAATAGCCATTTAGTGCTGACACATGGAATGTGGAAAGAAAAGGTACTCTCTAGCACTGAGAGATTTACCACAGAAAGTGTTACTAGCTCGGTGCGGTGGCTCACACCTGTAATCCCGGCACTTTGGGAGGCTGAGGCGGGCCGATCACCTGAGGTCAGGAGTTAGAGGCCAGCCTCGCTAATACGGTGAAACCCCATCTCTATTAAAAATACAAAAAAATAGCCGGGCGTGGTGGTGGACACCTGTAATCCCAGCTACTCAGGAAGCTGAGGCAAGAAAAATCGCCTGAACCAGGGAGGCAGAGGTTGCAGTGAGCCGAGATGGCGCCATTGTACTCCAGCCTGGACAAGAGCAAAACTCCTTCTCAAAAAAAAAAAAAAAAAGTGTTGTTTAAAAACACTTCACTGCTAACCTTTAAGTAATATATTAATCAGAACAAAATATCATAAAAATTAAAATGCTAAGTGTGGTAGAGAGTATCAGTACATATAGGTATATGGATCAGTCTCCTTAGTGTAACTTAAGAGGCTGTAAACACAGCACTTAGTGTTTCATCATCTCTTCTGTTTGGCCCCAAATTCCTACCATTATAATTATTTTAGACTTAGAAATCTATAAAGCTGCTGCTCCAGTGTGTAATATAATAGAGGAAATGTGATGGTGTATCTGCGGCTTTCCATTTACCACATTAACAAATGATATCAAGCAGGACAGGCATCTCCCACTTAAGCAGTAATGTACTTCAGAAAAATCTGATGTTTTGAGTGAAAATTCTGATAGTCTATTATTTATTAAGCAAAACAAAAACAAAAACAAAACAGTGTTTTTGTATCAACCCAAACCCCTCGCAACCAGCTTTCAACCACCTAAATAAAACAATAAAATATACACTTATCAATGCCAAGGTGCGTGGATAAATGTTACAAACGATATATTAGGGTGTAAAGGGCTACAAGCATCACTTCCTGCTCATACAATGAATAGGATGTTAACAGACAGTGTCTATAGGCCCTATTTGGCCTTTCAATGTCAGGAGAAAACATGCACATCTCCTTGGTGGAGACCCAGCCTACATTTCAAGGCATCGCCACATGATTCTGATGTTCTACTAACGGTAATGTAAATCAAGAAACTTCTCACATGTTGTTTCGTTAAAAACATTGAGATTGGAAGATGTAATGTAAATAGGTGCCTTATAAGCATCAGCAAAAAGCAAAGCAAGAAACATAAACATCTAGTGAGGGCTCAGTCTAGTCTGTGCAGATTGGATTTCAAAAATCAAGAGGCATTCCACTGGGCAACCATTCACTGGAAAGACATTCTGCAGGTTATTTCTGAATTTTATTCAGTAGCTAAACTACACTCTAGGTAGGTGTTACAAGCGGTAGGGCAAGCAAAATAAATGATGTTGCTGACTTTAAAGGACTTAAATATAATGGTACTATGGGACCCCAGTAAAGCATTAATATGGCTTTCTTAGTTATAATAGCTACATGTCAACTGGACAGACTTCTTTGATTTAACTGGAAAAATGATGGACAAATAAATTTTGGCTAAGATTATTGAGATGTTATAGAGCTGAGAAACATGATGTAGCCACCTAAAAGTTAGATAACAGAAATACAAGAATTCCAGCCCAGATCTCTCACTCTGTGTAAGATTTGGTGAAGTCATTTAATCTTTCTTGGTTTCAGCTGTGCACGGTAAAGATCAGATGAGTTGATGTAAGCTTTTAAACAAATGAGAGGACACGCAAGGGAACACCAAGTATTTTTGTAGATATAGCAGGTCCTCAGATAATGTCGTTCTATATGGTGTCGTTTTGTTATATCACTGATGAGCAGAAACTAAAATCAATATCCGGCTGGAGCACCATCTGTGTTGAGTTTGCACATTCTCCCCACGTTTGGAAAGGTTTCCTCTGGGTACTCCAGTTTCCTCCCGCATCCCAAAGATATGCACATTAGGTAAACTGAAATGTCTCAATTGTCCCATGACAAGTAGGTGGGGTAGGGGCATGAGTGCACACAGTGATGTGATGATGTCCTGTCCAGGGTAGGTTCCCATGTTGTACCCTGAGCTTCTGGGAGAGGTTCTGGCAACCCAACACTCTGAGCTGGAATAATTAGGTAAATAATACTCTGGAGGCTGAGGCAGGAGAATCATTTGAACCCAGGAAGTAGAGGTTATAGTGAGCCAAGATCGCGCCACTGCACTCCAGCCTGGGTGACAGAGAGACTTCACTTCAAAAAAAAAAAAATTATCTTACTCGTTCATGTTAATCTTTCTTAAATGTAGGTACAGGTATTGATCGACTTACGACCTATGTGACTTACGACCATTCGACTTTACGACCACAATCGCTAGCCACGACTGCTCCGCGTCTGGCAGCGCAAACGTTGCCCAGCTGGGCGTACAACAGTGCGGACCAGCTTCCGGCAGCACTACCATCTCCACGTGCACCATTTCAACTGTTATCCCAGACTCGGTACAGCAATTTGTGTTTTGTGTCTTGGATATTCTTCATCAAACCCCTCCCAATAAACTTCCTATACATTTCAAAGCAATGGTCCCAAACATCCAACGATTTGCAAGGATTGAACGGATGGCGCACGATGTGTTTCGTCCGTATCGTGAAATTTATGAAGAAAAAAAGAAACATACAATTCAGACAAAGCTCACCATGTTTATGAAAAAACCAACTCCGGTAACCCCAACTGCTGCCTCAGATGACGACATCAACGATCCGCAGCCAAGCACCAGCAGCCAATAAAATGTTTCGTACATGTTTATATATTTTGATATGTTTTGCAATTGGGAAAATGTTTCCTATGGTATTTTTTACACCTGTATTTTGTATTCTTTTATGCACCTGTAGATTTGTAATTTTGTATGTTTTGCAAATATTAAACCAGTTGTACTGCAGTGTTTTACTTAAACCTGACGAATGTAAAAATAAGAAACAAAATGGTGTAGAGATGATACAAATGGCATAAAATGAACAAAGAAAATTATGATATATAACAATAATGAAAGAAAATTATGATAAAATACGACTTAAAGATTTTTATAACATCATTTCACAGTACTGTACATATAGCCTACTCAACTTACGACCAAATCGTGTTACGACCGGTCTGTCGGAACCAATCGTGGTCGTAAGTCGAGCACTAGCTGTATAGCTCATGTTTATTTCAGTGTTTAATAACAGAAGTTTTTAGTGCTTATGTAAAAGTTTAGTGATATTTTTGTGACCAGAAATATGCCATAGACACTTCACATTTGCTTCTATCAATTAGTCCTTGGTAAAACTGGGTCTGTTATATGGCATGTCATTTAAAGTCGCAGTTTCTGAGAAGCCACCAATGATGTTATACACAACTGGGTTTGAATTCTTTGCTAGCTGTGTGAGCTTGGGCAAATTAACAAATGTCTCCAGGCTTTCATTCTCTCATGTGTACAGTGAAAACAATTACATGTACTTTGCAGAACAGAAATAGTGTTAGAAATATATGGAAAGTGCCTAGAAAGGATCTGGACCATAGCAGTCAATAATTGCTAATGATTCATTTCCTCCTTACTAGTAAAACTCCATAAACTCACTCTTCACCATCTAAGTAACCAGCTCATTCACTCATGCCTTTAACTTGTTTTCGCCCAGAACACTTAATTTCTTAAATTTCTGTCCTTTACTACAACTTCTTGTTTCTTCAATGTTCCTTAAAAAATTATACTTTATCCATATAAAAATGTCTACTCCCTTGAAGTCTTATTTCTTGACCATTATCAGAGCCTAACTAACAAAGTTCCCGGTTTCAAATACTTCAACTACTGTAGACAATTCTCAAATATCCTTGATATTACAAAGGATACTTTGCCGATCCTCAATCCTAGATGGATTGAACAGTCTTTTCATTCTATCAGGTTGGTGCAAAAGTAATTGTGGTTTTCTACTCTTCATATTACGCCAAGCCTTGTTAGAGAAAGCTGATTTGATTATGAATATAACTGTTACATTGAAAGGTGGGACTCCATATAAAAAATGCCAACAGAAAAGTGTTTTCTTTCCTCTGCTTCTTTAAAATGCATTTTCTTTAGACCATCTTCTGTAAAATTCACATTAAATCCTGAAAAAGTCTTGACGTAGACATCAATTGGTTGAATATACCTTGTAATTGAGAGTTACCCCAATTTTGTTCAGAGAAGCAATGGCCTAGCTAAGACTGTATTTCTTATCCCCCATTGTAGCTAAAGGTTGTCCAGTGAGATAGACACAGAAGTAACAGAGTGGGATTTCTGAAAATCTCTTGAGCTACCTATGTACATATATCTTATCACAGGAGGAAAAATAAATCCACACTCTGTTTAAATACCCTTTTGTTGGCTTGTCTGTTAATCATATTTGAACACAACATTACGCCTTACAGGTTCCCCAACTTTTCCATTCACTATTGTATGTAAAAGTCTAAGCTTAATGCAAAATTCATTTAAATTCCCATTACTAGATTAGTACTGCTTCAGACTGAGAAATTTCAGATTGGGAATGTGGTAGGGTCTATGTCCACTCTCTGAGTTTTTCCTCCTGATTTCATCTGAACTATATATATTGTTACTCTCTGGGGCTGATGGATATTCAACACTGACTTGTTCCTTTCTTGAGATATTTTCCCAGTTGTATGGGGGTACCCAGGACATTCAATTGCAAAGTCACACTTCTGACTGTCATTTACACCCCAGCCCCTCAGCTCCCATCTGACAGTATATTTCTACCCTCTTTCTGCTAAACTAGCTTTGTTCCTGGCAGGAAGTCTTGTTGGGCCTGACCAGCTCCAAGTCCAAGTCCAAGAGCAGCTCCATATCACACTGCCTTGTTTTGTGTGTAAGTTTGTGCCCATTGATGCCATGTCTCATTGCCCTGTCACCAGGTAAACATGCTAAAAAATAAAAGCCTCAGCACTTCCCTTTTAGCATCCACAGGCATGTATCAAATCCAAATAAATAAAAGTAATCTCAATTTTACAAAACAAATAGTGGATTATCTAATCTCTTCACCACTCAGACTCCAAGGGAAATGTATTAGCTCTCTAAGTAATCTTCTCAAAGACATTTACACTAAGATTAAAGAGAAGGGTAAGCACACTTTTCTCCTGGGAGAAAGCAAATGGCACAATATTTTATACTTTTTTCAAAGGAATTTTTCTCCTGTTCTCTTTAACCTGGATAATGTATGCCCTCCAGATAGATTCTGGATTAATTGCCAAAATAAACACATCCACATAAACACACAATTTTCAGAAAGTTCTTTCAAATTCATATGTAGCTTGGAATCCTTTTTAGAACATGAGGATGTTTTATATTTTCTGATTCTTCTGTGTTAGGAAGGCCCTAGATATTATTCCTCTGTCATTTTACTGACTCATAATCGACTCCTTTCACCTTTTCTTACTTTGCTGTCCCAAATCTTCAACAAGTCCCCATGAACTCCCACAGTCCTTCAGTCTCTACATATAATATCCCTTCTACTTGGCCAAGAGAAAAGTGGTCATCATTGCGACTTCTACATTTTCTCTACCTGCACAATCAACTGTCTTTATTTACCTTTAATAATATTCTTTCTGTCCCAAGTGAAAGATTTCACCATGTTTTCAAAGATAAATTGCATGAACTCGATCTCTCTGTCTGCTTTTTCTGGGATCATCCTTCAACATTCAGACTATTTTTTCTTATTTTCAAATTTCATAGATTTCTTCTTTTCTAGCTATAAGCATGCTTATATGTCCTCCAGTCTCAAAAATAAACAAGAAATAAAAATAGTCTTCAGTAGTACTCCACATTTTCCTTCACTGTCCTACTAAACCTCATGAAAATGCAGACAAATTTCTTGCCAATGTCTCACTGGCCCCCCAGTCTTTAACACTACAGTCTTTATTCCATTCCAATACATTCTACTGAATCTGTCCTCACAGGAGTAGACCAATGGCTTCTAACAGTCAAACACAACGAATTTTTTTATTCTTCTTTGAGTCTCTAAAGAATTTCAGAATACCTTAGTGGATCCCTTTCTCACTTCTTTGGATCAAATTTTTCTTGAGTTTCTTTCTACATTTTTTAGTTAAAATCCCTAGAGATAAAGACCAGAATGATGAATTTTTATAAAATGTTATTGGCACTACTGACAAATAGAAATGATATAGAATGACTGGCCTAAATACTAAAGAAACATTAAAAAAAAAACTTATTTGGTTAAATAACAATAATCTAGTACGTCAAGGAAAACAAAAACAAAACCTACTTTAAAAATCTCCTGAAAACATGTATCATTTTCCCCTTTTTATTATCTAATCATAAGCTCAATATCAAGGTTGAATTAAGAGTTGGAGGATATTACAGTATTTAAAGCTTCAAAATAGATTGTCACAGCTTTAATTAAAGTTACCAGGACAACCAGAAGGAGACAGAATATGCCATAATTGGAAAGTATCACCAGAAAAATTTGTTTATTATAACCTTGATCCTATTTCCTTTGAGCAAAATGCCTAGAGACCTTCATTTACTGAGCAGATCCCCTGGGCTGGGCTGGTTGATGAACAATGAGACCACTGATTTCATTACCTTCATCTCTCAGAAGGTAGCATTGGAGGTTGGATTGCTTTGTTGAAAAGCTCTCTCCTATAAATTGTTCATTAACACTTGCAGATATTTCAGCCTAGTTCAACCTAGTTTATGATACAACTAATTGATACATTATGAAATGCATGTTCATAATACTGTTAAATGATTATATCTTTTCTGTTTCAAAACGTTGTTTGATTTGAGATTGCTTAAGAATAATCCAATGATATTAGTCAGATAATCATTGTAGGGAGCCAGCTCCTGAGATATAGATGTAACAAATGTCAGAAAAATAGTCATTTAGCAGATACATCTTGGAAATAAAATGGTTCAAATTATAAATGTGGGTTTAGTGGGGAAAAAAACTGGATTTTAGATGGAAGTCATAAAGTTGAATTCTACCGCTACCTCATGCTAGCTATACAGTCTTGGGTAAGAACACTGGTCCTCTGAATTTCCTCATTTATAAAATAAGAATGCATAAATGTTTAATGTGTCTACTTCACAGAGTTTCTGTAAGGGCCTAATACATATGAATCATCAGAATCATAACATGATTTTATATAGTAAAAAGACCACGCAGAAAAGCAAAATTGCTATCAATGACATATCAACTAAAATTTTTTGATATCATTTTATCTTTCAGCCCTTCCTAAGGCTGGTAGATGGAGCTGATCAAAAGACCAAAGCACAAAGGAGTATAAAAAAAAGTTGAAATAAGTATAGTCAAACACATAAACAAACACAAGCTATAACATAAGGTAATAAGTTAAATTTGACTTTTTAATCAATAGGCTATAAAAGATAGGATTAACAATTTAATGTTCAAATACATAAAATCTGTGTTGATGCAGGCACATTAACAATTATTGCAGATACTAAAAAAGCAATAATTTTACCAAAAAAAAAAAAAACACTCCAGTTGTTGATTTCCTTTTTTCAAGAGCCTGAATCTAACTGTTAGATTATTTAGTAGGTATATAAGAAAACAAACAGTTACACTTATTTTCTCTTTCAGAGTGTTTACATATATATTTCCAGAGGTATCTGATGTTGACTGAAGAATAATAAAGGTTTTAAAATGTTTCAAACTCAAATACCAATGAAAATAGTTTAAATACCATATATTTTCTTTTATTGAATCATTCTTTTGAAAATGGTTAATTGATACAGGATTCACCGAAAAATTAATCGCCTTCCAGAATATTCTTTCATCTGGAACATCCAACACTTATTCAGTGTGGATGAATAGCAGTTTACAAAATACTACTTAGCCATCATTACTTCCTTGTTATGATTATACGCTTCCTTAGGTCAAAAAATATATTTGTGTAATAAGTGGAAATGCAGATCTTGAAGTCAGACACATCTGAATTTGAATCCTTTCACATTCTTGCTGCTCAAAGTATGGTCTTTTTACCAGGAGCGTAAGCATTACCTGGTAGCTTATGAGAAATGCACTATCTCTATCCTGATCTACTGAATAAAAATCTGCTTCTTAACAAGAGCCCCGGGTGATCTGTATGCATATTAAAATTTGGGAAGCACTGGCAAACATTACTTATTAGATATATTTCCTTGGGTAAGTTTCAAGAACTCTCAAAGTCCCAGTTTCCTCACTGAAAAATGAGACTAATAATGGTGTCTATACCCTAGTATTATTATGAGAAATAATTAGATGATGCTACTTAGTAACCACTCAATGAAGTCTAACTGGTATTAAATTTTATCATCTAACTTAGATTTGTATATTCATGATATTTTCTACTATATTTACCTATAAAATTACATTAGTGTCCCACCCGGAAGAAATAAAGCTCCTTTAATCCAGGCGCCTTCCCTGAGTATAAGCCTAAGACAAAAATAGAAGCAAATTAACAATGCCATTTTGCATACAATGTAGCATATGTTTTTCCATTAGCCTCAAAATATTTCTCTTTCAAATAATTGTTTTCGATTTTTGCATAATCAACGAAGTTAAGCAAGTAATTTATTTTGAAAACAAACATGAATCTGTCTCCCTGAAATCAAATTGACCTATTCTACACTTTATTAGCCATTGTGTCTTCAGTATTTTGTCATCATGTGCTTAAGATGGTCTACAGATCCCTCGAAAGACTCAAATAATGAACCAGGTGTCTTGAGCTTCCATTCCAAATGAGAAATAAGAAAGAGGGTCTCAATAGGATTATATTTTAATCCAAATGAGGCAAGATACACACCAGTTCATTCCACAACCTTTTTTAAGGGACTATGATATCCATATTACCTGCTTCCTACATCCAGAGGAAAAATGTAGACTGATAAAATCAATATGAATAGAATCATTTTCCACTGTCACCTGAATATTAATCACTTCAGTAGATAGCAACATTTTATTAGATATGTTTTTATTACAAACATTTACATAACTAAATGATTAAAAGTGGCATTCTCATCTCCAAAATGGAAAATACAAATGCTTTGAATTTTCTAGTAGTGAAAGTTTATCTTCTTATGAATTACTTGATTATTATTTATTTATTTTTGTTTTTTGATTTTTGAGACAAAGTCTTGCTCTCTTTTACACAGGTGGAGTGCAGTGGCATGATCTCAGTTCACTGCAACCTCCACTTCCCAAGTTCAAGCGGTTCTCCCTGCCTCAGCCTCCAGTGGAGCTGGGATTACAGGCACCTGCCCACCATGTCCAGCTAATATTTATATACTTAGTAGAGACAGGGTTTCACTATGTTGGCCAGGCTGGTCTCGAACTCCTGACTTCAGGTGATCCTCCCATCTCAGACTCCCAAACTGCTGAGATTAGAGGCTTGAGCCACAGGGCCCAGCCTCAGTTACTATTTTTAATTAAATGTTTCAACTTCTAGCAACATGGCATAACAAAAGTTCCAACTGACATACTTGTTACATTACAACAATATCTTGGATATTTGAAGAAGCATAATATAAATATTTAGAAGTACCTGAGAAAGAACAGAAAATTTCTGAGGGCCAAGATATATACAAAACATAGTAAACAAAAAAAAAATCTGAACTCTGAGTGTTAAGCAAACAGGAAATTCAGAGTTGTATTGCAACAAATATCCACAAATGTACTGAAATCTATACAATAAGAGGAACTAGGCTGGGCACAGTGGCTCATGTCTAATCCCAGCACTTTGGGAGACCAAGGCAGTAGGATCACTTGAGCCTAGGAGTTAAAGGCCTGCCTGGGCAATATGGGGAGACCTCATCTCTACAAAAAATTTAAAAACTGGCCAAGTGTGGTGGTGCATGCCTGTAGCCCCAGCTACATGGAAGGCTAGGGTGGGAGGATTGCTTGAGTCCTGCAGGTCAAGGCTGCAGTAAGCAGTGATTTTGCCACTGCTCTCCAGCCTGGGCAATGAAGTGAGACACTGTCTCAAAAAAAAAAAAAAAAAAAAGAGGAGCTAAACTGAAGCTCCAGCATTGTACCTGACAAAAGATCATAAGAAGTTTATGCAAAAATTTTTTAAAGTTTATCAAATGGTACAAAATATTGCTAAATGAGATATACTATTTATAAATAGAAAGACAAAATAAAGATATCAACTCTTCTCAATTTGGTCTGAGTCAATATAATACAAATCAAAATCCCAGTGGACATTTTCCTGGATAATTATATGCTAAATCTAAAATTTAGATAAAAGGTAAAAGTTTAAGAATACTCAAGATCATTCTGAACAACAATATAGTGAGGGACTTGGCCTATGTATTTAGTTTGTTCTCTCGCTGCTAGTAAAGACATACCCCAGATTGGGTAATTTATAAAGTTAAGAGGTTTAATGGACTCACAGTTCCACATGGCTGGGGAGGCCTCACAATCATGGCGGAAGGCAAAGGAGGAGCAAAGTCACATCTTACAAGGCAGCAGGCAAGATAACACGTGTAGAGGAACTCACCTTTATAAAACCATCAGATCTCATGAGACTTACTATCATGAGAGCAGTATGGGAAAGACTCACCCCCATGATTCAATTATGTCTCACCATGTTCCTCCCACAACACATGGGAATTATGGGAGGTACAATTCAAGATGAGATTTGGGTGGGGACACACAGCCAAACCACATCAGCCTGTGCGATATTGAGCTTGACAACTGGAGTTCACGAGAGGAAGGCAAGTTATTTAATAAATGCCATGAAAAAATTTAGTGGAAAAAATAATTTGAAATGCAGCCTAAAATTATATAGTCATATAACTTACAAGTAGACTAAATACATAAATGCAAAAGACAAAGTTTAGAATCATGTAGAATAAAATATATTAAATTATGTGTATAACCCCAGGGTAGGCAAAGATTTCTCTAAAAAAAAAACACTCCACAAAGCTAATAATTAAAAGAGAAGTTAACCTGCATTAAATTAAGAATTTATCTTGTCAAAATCACAACAGAGGCAATGGACAAGGCACAAACTAGAACAAAGATGTTTACATCATTTAGAACTAAAATGAATTAGCATCAGGAATATATACCCTAAAGATCGATTTTTTAAATGTGCAAAAAAATTCACTGAAGAGGAAACAAGAAAGGTGAATGAATATACAGCAAGATGTCTCCCTCATTAGTAACAAGCAGAGGTACCATTTTATAACCATTCGACTGCCTTTAATTAAGAAGTATAACACTTCCACATATCAGCCAGAATATGGATCGATGTGGGCTCATATATAGCTAGTGAAGGTCTGAATTCATACACTTATTTTGGAAAACAATTGTCATACTTTTATAAAGCTGATTCTGTGAACACACTATAATCTGGCAATTCTATTCTCCTGTATTAACCCTACAGATATTCTTGCACATGAGTACTAGAAGACTTGTTCAAGAAAATTCAGCAGCACTACTCATTAATAGCATCCTTCTGGAAACAATCCAAATCATAAGTTACCCACAGAGATTAAATGAAGAAATTGAGATACATCCTCAGAAAATAATATTTAACTGAATAAAATGAATTAAATCTAAGTGCAAACATACACATAAATCATATAAACATGTTGGTGGAGAAAACCAAGTAGCTGAAGACTACATACAGTGTGATATGAATTTGATAATGCTAAAAAGTAAGCAAACTAAAAAATAACTTAGTTTAGTAAAGCATTTTTGTGGGGCACAACTTTTTTTTTCTTTTTAGAAGAAAAATGACTACTGGAATGTCTAGCATTTTGGCCACCTCTAGCAGAGAGGAAGGGTGATGGAATAAGAGACTATAAAATTAAAGATGATGATCATATTCTCGGTTTTATGTTGTGTAATAGACTTAAAGATGTTCAATTTATTATTATGTATCATGATGTACATATGTATAAATATACATACAAGCAATTAAACATACATTATTAAAAATAACAGTAATATAAAAATAAATAATTAGAAATAAACTGATTATTTAGGGTTCACAAAGAAACCATGATATCTCATCATTTATCAACATATCAGATGAACACAGTTACTAAGAAAAAGGAAGCATACCAAAGAAGCCCCTCAACACGGCATGAAAAATAAACAATAGATAAGTAATAAAAAATAATAAAATGAGCAGATCTGATTTAAACTCACCACCAGGGCTTTAGATCTGTTGCTTAGAAGTTTCTCAATATCCCTGGCTGCAATTTCTACCAGCTGGCGTGCATTATTTGGTTCCACAGTATACAAATCTTGATATTTCTCATAAATCTGTGTGAAAGAAAAAAAAACTGGTAAGAACAATAATTACTTATTTGGCTTACAGGTTCCCATTAGAATGTATTTAAAACTATAACAACTGATTAGAAACGCCACCGTGTTCTTTCTTTATCTTGATCTCTTTGGACTTTGAGTGTGTCAGGAAAAAAGACATATAAATATAAATTTGCTCTAAGCCCATCAGATTGCCAAAATAGAGGTTAATAGGCTGTAAAACATCTTGTACCACAATGGTTTGTATATGCAATATTGAGGCATGGTGCTGTACTCTCCAATCTCGAAACTGAGTTTTATCTGTCATCAGCATCGTAAGACAAAGGGTAGCCATCCTAGACAACAGAAGGCAAAGTGGGACATGGAAGGTCAAACCCGGAGGATGAGTGTGGAAGACAAAGGTAGGAGGAAGGGTTGTGTGCTATGGAATGGAGAGAGACAGAGTGAGAGAGAGAGAGAGAGAGAGAGAGACAGAGGGAGACAATATAAAGCCCCTGCTAATGTTCATCTAGTTAAGAAGAGGAGCTTTAGAGACAGTCCACTGTAGAGGAGATGAAGGCCATTAAGGTTTTGGTTAGAACTGTAATGGTGTATTTATTTTTTATCATCAAAGTAAATGTTGCTGTTGGCTGTTAATCACTGAATTAAACTAGAATGAAATTAAGCTAAGTGGCAAAAGAAAAATTTGATTACCTTTCTGGCTCACCTTAGTGTCTATGGAAGGATTTCCCCAGAGTGGCATAAGCTACACCTGTCTTACACAGCCTGTACACTCTCAGCAAGAGAGGAAGAATTAAAGAAAGGGGGGTTAGAGGAGAAGCAGTCACAGTGCTTGTGGCTGGAGGGCTGAGCTGAGAAGGAAATCCCTTATGCATCCAACAGATGGGGTGTACATGCATGACTAAACCATCTTTGAAAGCCAGGACCTGGCAGGTTTTCACTGTCTTATGAGAAGTGAATCCAGGCACATACAGGAACCAGTTCAACCCTGCTTTTTTCTGGCACAACTCCAGCGTGATGCTTTACTACCAACAGGTTCTACAGCCTGGTCCCAGCTGGGCACTGATAACACTGGTGAATTCTGGCTTCAAATGGACACAGACACATACTACCATTTATTGACCACAGAGCATATTCATTTTACATGGACTTATAATTTTTTATTTGAAATTAAAATTAATATTTTGTAAAGATTTAAATCCATTTTTACTCCTAAAATTGACTTATTCACACTATGAGGTTTTTCAATACTCATGTGAACTTTGAACTTGTAGGTTTTCACTCAAAGTATTCAAGGCACATTAATTTCGTGATAAAATCTCCATATTTGGAATCATCCAGGAGTCCTGCATTTTACTGGATG